CAGTGTTATTAACGTAAGCACGTAACTGTATAACAGAGATATATTTTATATCGAATACACTGGTTGTTACATGTAAGGATGACATTAACTTTTTTACACACTGTTTTCTATAGATCTTTATTTATCACTTTTATTGTACACGTGTAAACAGAACACATAAAGGAATGGTGCGTTTCTGTAATCAATGGTATTTTATTGCTGCGATGATTCGTAACTAACGACACTCTACGAAAATACGTATAAAAATATAAGAAGCGACATGATTCCACGTTAATACTAACTTCACGAACATACAATGGACGGTATTCACAGTCTTATCTGTAATGGTATTCGACTTAATCTCGATCAAGTACAGTGATGTCGTAGCGTAGACCGTTTGTACCGAATCTAAATCGACCAAGTATGATACAAACATACGTGTTTATATTAATATAAATATACATCTATAAAAATTAGCGATGTACTGGTGTAATATAATACCTCCAAAACAGGTAGAAAAGATTAGTCAATCATTTGAAAATCTCATATAAATATTCTCTTATTAAAATCTAACGCATAGGCACATTTTGATATATATAAAAGATGTAAAATTGATTTCAAGTGGTAGTATACGGTCTGAAATCTAATTCGAGAGTTCTAATTCCCTGAAATTCAGAGTTGTAAAACTGTTAAAAAAAGATCCTCCTTAAGTAAGTACGAGCAGATCTCTATACTGTAAAAAATGTGTGTTTAAAATATGTACTGTACGGTTTGTCAGATCTAACAGTAAAATTTGGTCAACTTTGTTAAGTATAGACAAGTACATATCGTATTGAAACTACAGCAGCTATTATCGAAACAATTAAACTGCCATGATTATAAGGGGCTGCATTACAGCCGTCTTTGCTATTGCATGTGCAATATTCCATGAATATATTGTAAGTCCCAGTTCTCATTAGACAAAAACGCTCATCGCCTGCAATCCCTGGCTCACCCATATACGCACAACTACGAAAGTACCTCCATACCCCATTGACTAAGGAAAATGATAACATCCAGACAGTAAATATACATGTACAATGTTATTCTAACTACTACATAAACAACACATTCACATACCTTTTTGTCGAATCTTGCGACACATGGTTGGTTTAACACCAGGCAGGTGTTCAAGTTCTGGTTCTTGTTTGCAATCGGTAATTGGTACAGTTGTATTATCAAAAGGATCTGCACATTTTGGATCTGAATCTGATCTACACACCCAGCACTTAATAGAGAAACCTGTAAATATGCGCAGCACCAATGCAAACGATTCCACAAATTAATATCCTACAGTAAAATGTTTATTAAAAAATAGAAGCTTATTACTTTAAAGCCAGTCGCTTTTATTGTCATTTATCAATTTATACATAAAATAGCATATTCGACGACGCAGTTAAGGGAGTAAATAATCAAAAAAACATCATTTCTAGGTTATGATCTAGAGGTAAACGATCGATGCACTTACCTTGATGGATGCAGAAGAGGAAAAACAATGCTGTCACTAGAACACGAATACTAATTTCCTTCGTCATTTTAAAAGAATGGGCAATCACTTAATGAGAACTGAAAATAACTCGTGTTAAGACGTAACGTTAATTACTCAAACTGCCCACGCCTACGACTGACCACGCCACTAAACAGACCGCGCCAGGGGCGACTCAATAATGTGTTCATATTTTTACAAAAATAAAACAAGAGAAAACTTTCTATCCCTTCGCCCCAAATTAATAACAACTAAATTAAAAATACATTCAACACATATAAAAGGAATAAATAACTGACAATTATTCTATTATGAAGTTAACTACACTTTTTAAAATCCACCAAAGAATGGTACCGTTCTTTATACGCTACTGCATCAGTTCGTTCAATTTCGGTACCGACCGGACCACGTGACTTGATCTCGATTCAAGACCGCGCCCGATCCGCAACGCATTACTCGATAATGTGCGCTTACGAATTGATAATTGCAATTCGAGCGATGAAAGAACGCACCACGGAATGAGAAACGATACGAGCCCAATAAAACACAAACGACGCACAATTTATCTAAGCGTTACCCACAGCACGTCGCATTTTTGTCGTTCCGATGATCTTGCAACGCGTCAAATTACAAATAACCGCGATTAAGTCTTATCTTAAATAAACGACACACTGTAAGAGCAAGATAAAACATTTACATTGCTCGCTGATATACCCTGTATCGTTTCACATTTCTCATTCACTCGATTCTACGTTCTCCAAATCACCGAATTAAAAAAAAATGAGGCTACAATGGACCTCAAGCTGTGACCATTTTTCACAGCTTGTAAACTACACATAGCTTAATTCAACAAGCATTAAAAATACCAGAAAATGTTCTTATAGGTTTAACGAGGTCCTAAAAATACTTGAACTCCTCTCAAATTAATCTAAACACTTTCAATCCATTCTCTCCGCTGTTACATCCGTTTAAGTCAAAAGTCTTTCTACAACCAAGTTTCGTTAATTAAAAAATCCATCTAACATCTTACAAATCGCGAACACTGAGAATAATCCAGAGACTACATAAACGTCTTTTCCAAGCTACAGCAAAAAACATAAACGGATTGCAGATCGCACCCCTAATCACCGAACATAAAAGACGACCGAGCGGGACACCGAGCAGAATGCAGCGACGCAATCTATTTCTGCAGCGATTGTGCAGAACCAGGTTCAAAGACGCGCAAACCGACTGGACGTGCATTGTACCGATTTTTGCCTCGGTCTTGCGGCGAGTCCCCACTGGTCCCGTGGCCCACAACAGAATCGATTCGCTTTCGCGGGTGGTCCGTGACCGGAACGAGGCGTAGCCGTGGTCCGCGGCTAACATTTGAATGCTATAAATAAATATAAATAAATTGATTTGCCGGCATTAGCATAAGTAGCTGGGAGAGTCGCGGCTTGCCCCGTCCGCAGCTCGCGTCTCTTTGCTGTCTGCCTGCCTCCCTCCCTTCTTTTTCTCTCCCTTTCTCTCTCTCCCTCTGGTTCTCCGGCGAGTGCCGGACGTTGATTTATACCCGATGTCCCTTAGGTTCCTGCGGCATTCGCCGTCCCTTTAACTTAAAAGGACACGAAGGCTGCGATCGGGACGCGCGTCCGTCTCGTACGCGTGGGAATTAATTCCGAAACCATGAGATTCTTCTCCCCCCGGAACGGCACTGTTTAAATGAAACGATAAGAAGCTTGCGGTGTACGTGTCGAGACTGTACGCGCAGGGCGCACTCGCGACGACGACCCCTTAAGGCTCGGCTCGTATTTGAATTTTAAATCACTGAAAATGTCTTGCTTCGACTCCGGGCACTTCTGTTGATCGTAAACTCAGAAGGACGTACCCGCGAAAATATCGGATCGAACGCAAAGTCGGTTCCTATTAGTGTGTTTCGTGTCTTTATACGTTATTACGCGGGCTCGCTCGGACGGAGCGAGGTTCCCTTAAGGAACAATGGTCCAATGGAAACGAGCGGTTAGGCCTGTTCCCTTTCGCGTTAACGGGTTTACGTTAAATGTCGAAATTCCTGGAAACAAGAGACCAGGATCAATGCCGCTCACGAGAGGAACTAAGAGAAACAGGCTCCTTTCTGGTATAAAATCAACGGCCTTAAGAGGCTCGCTGGCAGCTCGTTCTTTTTTCTAAAAAACTCGGTAAATTCGTGTAATCATGTCGGAGGGATGGGCGTGGCCAGACCGCAGAGATACTCCGTTAGGGGAATCACCGTGTGTCATTATCCGAATCTTTCAAACGATCCCCGTACCCTTACTTTCTTCGCTGTCGGAAGAATGGGACGGTCCCTGTGTTACGTGGACCGCGTTAATGGTTATCTTCTTGCGCAAAAATTGATATACCGAACGAGCCCGGCACCGTGCGCCGATTATCCCCGAGTGAAACGTTAGCGTGACACGACGACACCGACGGCCGTTTCACGGTGGCTCGCCGGCCGATCGTTTCCCGTTTATCGGGAGAAATGAATTTTTACGAGAATCGATTTGCTGAATATTACAATCGGCGCGTCATCGGATCGTCGGTTCTATTTACAGACGCGCGGTCACGTTGGATACGCGCCTTTATCTCGACGTCGCAATTTCACAAACGAGCGACCTATATCCTGGCGACAGTAAAATACACATCGAGAGAAAATTATTCCCCCGTCGGTCGCTTCTAATCCGATAATAAGCAAGAACAGGCCACTCGCGCTTTCATCATCGATACGAACGATCGCATGTGTCCGCCTTGTCCGAGGGAATCGCAAAACCCATACGGGAGTCCATCTTCGGAGCGGCATCGCCGTCCCCGGGCAATGCGTTCCTCGTCCACGTGAGAGATCCGACGACAGTACCCCCTATCAGACTGCACCCCACCACCACGGAATCACCCTCCACTTCCGCTTCGCTTGGTAGCCACTCCTCTCAGCCTCCGTTGATACTTCCTCGCGCGTGTATCTCGTCAGTCGGCCCGGAGCCACGTGCGTGTGCTCGGGAAGCTCCGCTTCGAGAGTCATCGTCGAGACCCACGATCGATCGTCTTCCTGGTTGTCCGATCGTCACGAGCCTTCTCCAAAGGATCGTTCGAAATCCCGCGAAGAGGCACTCTCGGGGCTACTTAGCCAGACATTCGAAGAATAGAGTGACTGTTCCGACGGAAAGGGACGAGAGAAGCGGACGGAGGATCCGCGAGTGACAATTTCTGAGAATCGCCCCCGATCCTTCGCTCGCGAGTCAAAGAAGCAAGGCCCTTTAAGTGAACGTCAGGGAAGAATAATGGAGTGTACCCCGAAGGCGTGAAGTGTCTACAGTAATATGTACCGATCCGTCCGCGGCGTCGGGACGAGGGAACCGCGCCGTCTCGACGGTGCGACGTTGGCCGTCTAAAACGACCAGGAAACCCAAACTCGAAGACAGATGGTGGAAGCAGGGAGAACTAAAAATACCGGACGCTGGCACGCTGTTGCCTCCTCGCTGTACTTGAACAATTCCTACTGGAGAACGGACTCCGTTCCATGCAGTTGCCGGGCGTTCGCAGACGGTAGGCAAGAGAGATCCTCCTTAAAGACGCTGGACGCTTTTGAAGTTACCGATACTTCGGTTCCGAAAGCTGATTTTTAAAGGAACGTTCGGACAGTCTTCTTGACCCTGAAGCTCCAAGGGTCGTCAGACTCGTGAACATTTCACGTTTGAGACGGAAGAAGATCGTAGAGGGGTGAGTTTCGTCAATGAACATTAGAGTTTCACTTCTCGCTGGCAGCTCGACACCGTCCAATCTCGATGAAACAGGAGAGACACGGCCACTTCGTGAATCGTATCCACTTTCGCGGTGTTACATAAAGAATCGCAACGTAACGTATACTCCGGCTCGCTTTGCGTGGACGCTCGTAATATCCTGGTGTCTTTTTGCAAGGGAACGTGCCTCTCGCCACCTGTATGTCCCACTCGGCTCGCAGTTTCTCGCGCGATCCTCCTACTGTAATCCTACGCAACCGGCTGCATCCGCCCGATCCATCGATCCGACGGCTTTATCGATCAGCTTTACACTCGTTTTACGGTCGTTAACGGAATCGCTGCCGGGCCGCGTAGCATCCGGCTGGGCCGAGACGATCGGCGAGTCTCGTTTAATTGAAACTCTTTCCGAGATTGATCGAGTTAATCCTTGTAATTACCAAACGTTTCGCGGCGGGGCTATCTGGTTGCTCTATTTGCGACTAATCGGCGACAATTAGCGACTAGTTGGATGGCTCTCGGCGGCTATAAAAATTCGAGAAATAAGGGGAATCGCATACCTCGGTTTAATTAACCCGTTGAACGGGATGGAGTCCCGCGGCCAGGTATCCGACAAAATAATTAACACCGTTCGCCGTTTCGTCTGTTCGCAACAGTCTCTCCTTAATTTCGCGTTTCTTGTTCGAAACTGTTACCAGCTCGGGCATCGCCGCACTATCGTTTCCCTTGATACCCGTCGCATTGCATTTTTCCCGATCAGAATTTAAATACGCGAGTCACCGTGTATCATTACGGACGCACTAAAATCCCCGGCGCAAGAACTAAGGCGCCACAATATCCCTTTTTTTTACGGATCGCCGCATTAAATCGTAAAGTTTCACGAACAGCCCGGGATCTAATTACTGCGGATACCTAATAGGCCCGCCAAAGCATACCGCGAACCCTTGCGAACTGCCGGCAATTAATTAGAACGAAATCACTCGCGCCAACTTCCGCGAAGGCGTCAGGCCTCGCAAATTGAGGGAAGAAGAAAGATAAACGGTAATAGACGAGTACCAAAGACAAATAGGAGCGATCATTAATTATACGCTATCACAATTCCTGCGTTGCTCTATTATCTAATTAGACACGCTATCAACCACTCCTATACGATATCAATCTTACAACAATTACTTCCAAGCAATTTAACGGCATCGATCATCAACTATAACGACGTTCGTCGTAATCAATTCCGATTCCACAGAATCTAACGACATATCGGCCATTTTCCATTTTACATCTTAAAGTACCGCAAGATAAAAACGATTAATAACACAGCTGTCTTTCAACGAATAGGTTCCATCGTCGCAAGGGAGGACGGAAGCAGAAGAAAGTCCCGCCGGATCCGTCGCGTCCCGAACCCCGTCGTCACACGCGGATGACGGTGTACACCGAGAGCGTCGTCGCGAGGGGAAGCGAGCGCAGCCCCCTCCTCGAGGCCGAGTTCTTCCACTCATGGTGTTTTACGGCGCGGTTGTTTGAAATTCTTCGCGTGGAGTCGCGGCCGTATTTATAGAGCCCCGCGCGCACGCTCGCGAGTTCACGCACGTAGAATTCACTCGCACGCACTCACGCGCGTCTCCCCGAGGGAGAGAGGGAGGAATCGACACGGCGGGACATTAGAGGAAACGAGAAAACGAAGCAGGGGCTAAACGGAGGGACGAGGGCACGCGGCACGTCGCGATCATGAAGCGATGCATCCGCGACAGGAGCACCGGCCCGCTTCGTCGTCGAGCACGTCCTCGACGTCGTCGAACTGTCTGCGCTGGCTGCCCCCACTGGCGAGCCAACTCGATTCACCGGGCATGATCGCCACGCTGCCACGGCCGAACGCGGTCCTCGGCGTCGTCGTTCTCGTTCTCGCCATCGGGACCGTGCTGTCCGCCGATGACGTTCCGGTGAGTACGTTTAACGCGATTTTTTCTTTCTCACTGTCAAGTTGATCGCCGGACGATTAATCAACGACGATCTATCAGGTACCGGGAAAAGTTCGCGCGGATCTTTACTTCGAAATCTGAACGCGGAGAACCTTTCCGTGTATTTGATTTTATTCGATGACGTGAACATGACTTGCTGATAATACCAATTTTGATCATTAGGCTGGGAATATTGTGGTAATTGACATTGGACTATAGTTTGTTGGTAATAAGAAAAGTATACAATTTTTTTCTGGTACCTGGCATATCTGTTGAAATAAGTGGTGTGCTCGTAATTTGGAGATTGATTGCGAGAAGCTCTTTGGAAGTTATTTTTAAGTTATTTTCCAGTGGAGTATTGTATTGCTGTTTGATTCAATTGTTTCGTGCAAGTGTCCTCGTTTTGGTATTGATACGCGTCGGTGCGGTGTATTCCTATCTGGAAAGTTCTTTCGGGAATTCACCTTGGAGAGATTGGTTCGCGGTTGTTTTTTAATTGGAGTCTGCGGAGTATCTTATTGCTCTTCGTTTCGATTGTTTTGAAGAGTCCGATCAGTGAAAGTTTCTTTGTTTTTATACGAAGTTGAATGTGGCAGCAGCGTACAATGAGGATGCAGCTGTCCTAAATGCATCGGACGTATTGGAAACTCGCGATCGCCGATACCGAGTCTTCCGCAGTATTCAGGACAATACGCTTTCTAAATTCCCTTGGATTTTTCGAAGCGCCGCGGTCCACGGAAAATCGACGATAATTTCTCGCAGCCGTGTCCCCGATTCGTTCGTTTCCCCGGGAAATTCGAGGCAGTGCTTCGTTTCGACACCGCGTACGCGCGGTTGGGCAACCGCTTGGCGTAAAATATTAATAAATACCACGGGAGCGGAAAAAAGAAGGAAACGAACGGAGCAAATCACGGGAACGAGATACCCTACATCGGACGCATATTAATCTGCTTAATTAAAGGCGAGATACCCTCGTATCTGCGAGAACCGCACTTTTCGCGGAGATTAAGAGCAATCCGGGACGTCGTTAAACGAAAGAGCGCTCGGGAACCGACAATTCTTTCCATGTTTTCGTGGCGGCGATAGTATTGCCGCAGGCTCGAGTTACCGAATGGGAGGATCGAAGCAGATCGATCTCGGGGATCGTAAAATCGTCCGGCGAAACGGGAGGGGATATTACGCGCGCCTAACGCGCCGTAATTTCAATATTTATCGGCGTATATACATACCTATCTTTCGAACCGTCTCGCTCGGACTCCGCGCGCGACATGTTCGAGAAGGAAAAGAAACGCCCGAGGCATAAAGGGATGTGGGAAGATAAGCGCGTCGCTCGAATTCGCCGAACGGAACGCGCGCGACATACGAGACAGACATCTGCGTTCCGTGTGACGTTCGATCGAGAAGACAGTTCGCGTATCTCTGATACCCGTGTTCCGCTCACGAACGATCCGTTAACGGAATTTTTACTATACCGGCGAGATAGTCGCCGACCGCAACAGCATCTGCAGCGATTGTGCAAGTGGCCACGGTGAAAGTTCACATTAGGATCAGTTGCCCAACGGAAACTACATTTTTTCCCCGGCGGGCTAAAATGAAGACCATGTTCGGCTTAAAACTACACGCGCGAATGATAAATGCGAAACGTTAATTAGCGATCGGGCCGCGTCGATCGCGCCGTTCCCGATTTCACGGGGGAACGCCGATAATGTTGCGCGGTTTAATTCCATAAAATATGCGTTTTATGCGATCCGCCGGTGGAACTGAATCGATCTCGTTCGACCAGTTGCTTGACAAGCGTTTCTCACCCCGCCGCCGCCCGCCCGGTCGGGGAATTAAAGTTGATGGAACGTTAATGGGCCAGCGCCAGACCGCAAATAGAATTCCTCCGGCGGAGCCGCGTTGGGCACGTGTTTTAGGAACCAGTTCCGTGGAAGCGGCGATCGCTCGCTTACTCGCTCGCTCGCCTACGATCGACGGAACAATGTACCTTCCGCAAATGCCGGACAATTTGCCTCGATTCATCGGCGTGAAATTGGCTGTGCGCCGTTTAGTAGGCAGTTCGATGATCACGGGGAGCCCTCGGGTAACCGAGCCCGCCGATGAAGCGTCGTGTTGCCGCGAACCCAGTTATACGGGCGCAATGGCAAGCGGAGAAACTTCGCTTCGGCCCGGTGATTACTATAATTTCATTTAGTATCTATCCCCGAATTCCGACGATCCTGCGCGCCGGGTCCTTCCTGCCGTGTGTGAAGCGGCCGGACCGAAAATAACGGATCCGCTCGGCCCGTAAAAATATCTGGTCGAATTATCGCTTTGAAACAGTCGGTGGATCTCGGAAATAAGTGTACAAGCTGGCGAGAACCGATAGATCAACTATTTCGATCTTTCCAACGTGATGTAGACATTCGCTTCTAATACACCTATGATCTTAGGAAACGTTTTTGGCTAAATTTTGAATAAAAATCACTGTTACGACTGACGGTTCGTCTTGAAATTACATATGTGTGATCTACTAGCGATCTTCAAGGCTAGGATCATCCTTTGAACCCGTCTGACATCGTAAATTTTGAAACTTTAACTACTTCAACTTGTAAGATTCTGTGGGAGATCAAAGATTATCAGCTCTCAATATTCGCATAGCGAGAACCTGTCAAAGATTCGTTGCGCGGTCTGAAAGAAATTGGAGGAAGACGGTTTCGTGTTCAGAATTCGCAGCTGAGGCTCTCAGGTTACCACCCACAGACCCGTGGGACATCAAAGCCGAGCATTCGAGCGCGACACTTACACCGAACTTTTTCGTTCCCGGACGCCGATGATCCCGATAACATCTCCCCGCGAACCACGGCAGTCGGAGTTTATATTTAGGACGTCGTTCCTGTCTCGATCGCGATGTTTTCGTGCACGGAACGCGTCGCGGTCCCCTCCGGGCCGTAAATCCGCGGCGTTCCCTTCCCTTTCGGTTATCAAACGCGCGCCAGATTCGCAGTCGGACGACCCGCCGAACCGGTAAACTGGATATTGTCCGTCAGAAATCCCCGTATGAAGAACATCCCGAGACAGAAAAGGGGCGGCAGGGGGGCCGAGTATCAGATAAAAGGACAACCGTTTATTTGAGTTCCTCCCTTATCGGGCCTAACAGGCCAATTTATGGCTTGGACTCTTGCCCACGGAACAGATAGCGGACAGATGTTGGACCGATGCTTTTCCCTTCGCCGCTGTTAGGCGAAACTGTTATCGTAAAGTGTCGCCCATGGGAATGACCGCGGGGAGGTTGCTCGTTTCCATGGAATATTCGAATCGTTGGAAATCAAAGTGGATACGAAAATCCTACAAATTATAAATCTAAACATTCAAACAATTCGAATCTGGCGGTGTCTATTATCGATAATCGAACATCAGGTTTCAAACTCTGTCGCAGAGTATGCTTCTAGAATATTTAATTCCTTTGTTAATTACTTCTTCAAGAACACTATTCTAGCTTCTATCGAACTAACCTAAGGAAATAAGGAACGGTTCCTCATTAACAGTTCGAAAATGTCCTGAATAATGTTCCCTTGAAAAAACGTGGGAAATACCCAGCGTTTACATTGTTCCTTAATTAATAATCCAGTCCCGATCGTTAACGGTACCAGGTAGAACCGAATCCGCCGACAAAAAGGGACACCGCCGATCGGCCATTCTGTCCTCGAACAACGCGGCAGAGAGAATGCCTCCGTGACCAGCTTCCTGCTCAGTTTCCCGATGCTTCTCCCGCGAACGATCGAGTTATTCTCTAATTAATAGTTGGCCGTCGTCGGACGCGATCGCGTCGAAAGAAAGACGGCGCGCGGTGCAGCGCGTCGGCCGGCCGGCCGGCCGTGCGACTTCGCGGCAGCGTAAAAATGGCGGCTGACCCGGGGGGACGGGATCTCGAGAGCGCGCGCGACCCCACGACACCCCGCGGTGAAACTTCCTGTCACGGGATCCGCCGGGCTCCTCGTCTCTGTTATTCTGTTAGCGTGCCGGGATCGACGGAATAATTTACCGCTATCCCAGACGGGGAGAGCGACTCTCACGTTCAGACAATGCAGACACGCGAGTGGATTCCGGTGTACGCCGCGACGATACTTATGACGGCGAAGATTGATCGTGGCGATCCTCGAGCGCTCTCGACGCTTTGACCCGATTCGGCGCCGTTAATGATCCTTCATTGCGGAGCGGTTGATCGATGTACTCTGAATTAACCCTTAACTGGATCCGCGAAATTCAGCCTGGGAAAGTCGAGAATCCTCGGGCTCGAGTATTAAATTCTTCCCGGAATTCGCTAAAAACGAGATGCTGCGGCTGATTTGAATAAATTTGAATAAACGTCCATTATGCAGATTTCGAACGGCAGCGGGGAAGATGAAGTTTTATTTCAGAGATTTGTTTTGATTATACCGACACGGATTCGGTGTAATCTTCGGGGTCAGGGATCATTGTCGGTCTCGACCTTATCCGACAAACTTTTAGACGTCTAGCCGTTTAATCCGCGGCAGGTATCGTTCTGCGGATAATACCGATTAAGATTTAAATGAATATTTACATTCGCGGTATCAGAATCGGAGCTATTTTTACACTTTCTAATTTAAGAATCCTTTTATGGCTACTCCAACGGCGCACGATTTCTGATATCCCGCGCGGAGGAAGGCTGACCTAAAGTTTTCTGGGCAGGGGTGAACGGTAGAAGAGAAAGCAGGTGCAATGATAAATGTTGTTTACCACCGGTGCACAGAATATAAGGAACGTAGCGCTTTCATAGAATTTTTCCTGTTTTTAGCTTCGTCCGGAAAAATTCAACTGAATACCAGTGATCGAACTCCTGACACCAGCTGGCTGATTTTTCGTTTGAAACTCGTAAAACGGGTGATAGTAGGTGCAGATAAGCGAAGGTGACGTTACGGTGGTTTAATGAGATCGATTATTCAACGGCGATCGATGGATTGAGGTAGAGACGGTCTCCT